GGAAAATATAAATATAAAGGCTCGAATAAATTGTACCCAAAAGCCTTCTAACGGATTACCTAAACACCTACTTCGATTAAACTTGGTGGAGCGTTTAATCGAATCTCCCTTACTCTCGAAAGATGATATTTCTCGCGTGTATGTAGGTGAGAAAATCGGCCAACACATCATTGTAGGAGAGGTTCGGACATGGTGTATTTATAGGCTCCATTAGGGACCTTAAGGAGGTGCTAAATATGGACTTATTCCATTAGGCCTAGGAAACCTAATTCTACTCCAATACTAATTTAATGTTGGAAAGAAATCTCCTACTAATCTTCTCCTTCTAGAAGACTCCTAAGTCTCCTAACAATAGAGAAGATCCTTGTAGGAATATCTTTCCTAATTAAATTAATAACCATGGAATAAAATTAATTTCTAATTTAGGAAGCCTAATTTTACTCCAATTAATAATATAATATAAGAAATATATTTCCTACTAGTCTTCACCTTCTAGAAGACTCCCAAGTCTCCTAACCCCAAGAGAAGATTCTAGTAGGAATTCTATTCTCCTAATAAATTAATTAATATGGAATAAAATTAATATCTATTTAATGGTATTAAATAATAAAATATCCCACTAGAGTAATATTATTGCTCTCCCCATTTAGCCACTATTTTACCAATAAAATTGAGCCTCCATGATTAAATAATATTAATCTGATTGATCGATTTACCTCCCTATGTTTAAGATATAATGTCCGTTGATTAATTAAATTACTCACAAACTAATTAATCAACTTCTTATTCATTTCCGAAATTAGTACCACTCAGCCTTTAACCATTATGTCAGACAATCGTCTACCTGCAGGGTTTAACATAATGTTCCTTTCTGAGCTCATTTCGGGGACGTCACCAATCTAGCGCACTGGAACATAGTGACTGTAAATAATTTATAATAGCACATCATATAATTATTCTTACTTACCAAAATACCTCGTATGTCATCCTAACATAATAGGAATCACTTGGTAAATCAAATAAATAAGAAATAAAAATATATGCCTATTTTATATTATCTTACAGCTTAAGAGAACGCATCAATCACTGAAGGTCTAGGTTACGACAACGGTCAGTGAGTCTCATATCCTTATCCTTCCGTGCTCCTGTTCAACACTTAACATAAGTGCCAGTGTAATCCTTCAGTCAAAGACCAACTGAATCGAGAATACACTACAGTCTTTTTCCAAGTGGGGTCTCACTGCCAGTCTAGACTGTGAACGAATAGTTTAGTCTTATAAGAAACCGATAGGTGATCTATCCGTTCGAAACTCTTCGAACCACACTACCTCAATATTAGACATGGAGTATGTATTGCATAAATAAATAAACTGCAAACATATGTACTTTGACCGAAACATGATTGCCAGATCAAAATGGAATTGATAGAAACTGCAAAACATCGCTTTTACAGCATACCTCTAACACGAACTGCCAAAAATATCAAATATGGCAAAGGCGACTCGATAGGCGGAAAGACATCTCGGTGTCTGGGTCAAGATGTCGAGCTGGTAAGGTGTCTATCTCGATAAGTGATCCCAAGAGTGGGAGGATCAAGTAGTCATAAATGCCGACCTGCAGGCGGCCGTGAGGTCGGATGGGAGGATATCACAGTCGAAAGTCGGTCAGCGAGGCTATACCCGGTGTCAGACAATGACATGCCGATGGGACATTTCGTGCGAGCCGGTTAACCCAAAGAAGCAAGAACCTAGGCCTAGACCTGACAACATTTAACACACCCCATGCTGGTATTTAATGCTGCAGGGATCATCATGGACAATTCTCTAACCGCATTCAATGCCTGACACTGCCTGTCATTCCATTCTACTGTGCAATGGGACAACGTGAAACCTCAATAGTGCCAAGCTTGGAGTAGTATAAATAGCTTATTCACTTATAAGAGTGGGTTGAACTCTCTTAATTCTATAATAGCTGCACATTTTCTCTCTCTAACAAAAGACCTGTAACAGTTTCCTCCAAAAAAACATCACAGCACGAGTGCCGACCACATGTGTCGAAAGCCGAACTGATCAACAGAATAATAAAAATTCTTATTCCCTACTATCTCATTTTCTTTCTTAAATCTTCATTTAAATCTTGATTAACCGTTGGCCGAAAATGTTCGTCAACAGTTTGACGCTAGAGGAAGGGAACCATAACTTGCTTGGTGTCAAATTTTCACTTGTGAACCCTACCACCTCTCAACTTTATTTTCCTTTTTCTTTTTATCTTTTCGTGAAAAATGACATCGACCGGACACGACGTGGCCACTCAGCTATCCGATGGGCAGAATCGCCACCGCGACAGTGAACGGACATCACGTCGCCGGAGCCAACTAAGGTCGGCATCACTCTTATACCCGCATTCCATCTCGACCTGGAGCCAACTAAGGTCAGCATTCAGGTCCCACTTCATTGGATCCTAGATCAATCTCGCCCCCAAAGGGTCCATCACCAACATCGTCCAAGGCTAAGACGAGAGTTTGAAGGATTACATTGCATGATTCAACGACCAGGTGCAGAACATAGAGCAATACCACCCCGAAACTCTACTCGTGTCTGTCCAAGCCGGTCTCAAACGGAGAACATTGTTCAAATGGTCACTTTGTTAGAATAAACCGACCACATATCAGGAGTTCCTGAAGCAGGCCCAGAACTACATCTCGGCAGAGGAATCAATGTCCATCCCGACCTGGATGGGGCGACGGGAAAGAATAAGCCAAAGGCCGAGAAGCCTGGAAAGTCAAGTAAGGACAATGCCGAGAAGATATAACAGAAAAAATAGAAGACTGAGGAATTGAGGGAAAGCTATCAGGGAATTTACACTGTTGGAGCCGCATTGTACAAAGAAATTAAAGGCAAGGGACTAATCACCAAAGTGAAGCCAATCTACACAGACTCTAGCAAGCTCGACAAATCGAAATACCGTGCCTATCACAAGGGGCACGGTCACAACACTGATCACTGTAGGAATTTGCTATCGGCTCCTAAAGCTAATCAACAAACCACAAGTGAAGAAATACACCCGCTCTGACGAGAATAAGTGGGGACGATTTGAAGACATAAGCAGCGATGAGGACTCCGACGCCCTCACCGGAGGAAGAAACTGCCGTCGGGTGACGACCATGAAATCATGATGTTCTATCCCACGCACCAAGGCGAGGCTGACACATCTCGGAGCCGAAAAAGGGAACGATCCCCACGGCACCAGGAAACAACCCCAATTCGTTCACCTCGCCGAGTCAATACTAGTCGAGACGACCCTGTGCTGTCCCAGAGACAGACAAAAGCGTACGTACGTCGATCCCAACACGTTGGGGAACAAATCCTCCATGCCAGCCACAGGCCGATGCCCGAGCACACGATGTGTCAAATCTCCTTCAGTAAAGAGGACGCATTTATCTTCAATCATCCGCACTCAGACGCCCTGGTCATCACGGCACCAATTGCGACCATTAAGGTACACCGAATTATGGTTGATATTTGGGACTACGCGAGCATCATGTATCTGAGCATATTCCGGAAGATGAAGATCGACATTAAGGAGGTTTAACCTTGCAATGATCGAATCCAAGGCTTTAACAGGAAGACTACCCTCCCCATCGGGCAAATCACTCTGCCAATCAAGTTCGAAGGAAATGGACGGCCGGCGAGGACGATCATGGAAGTATTCAAGATAGTCGACTGCGAGAGCGAATACAACGCCGTGCTAGGACGGACTGCCCTCTATAAGCTCAGAGCGGCAGTTTCGATCTTCCACTACTCCATCCGATTCCCTACCTTGGAGGGAGAGGACATCCACCGCATATATCAAAGGGAAGCTCGAGAGTGCATTCTGGCCATTCTCTATGAAGAAATTAACACCATCAGAAGTACGGGTGACGGAATGAGAGAAGCGGTCGC